GTTACTATAAATCCTAGTCACCTCAATAGCAACTAACAACAATTATACTGTATTTTAAAACCTATGCTCTTTAAAAAAAAACAACCCAAAAACAAAAACCTATGCTCTTGAGATTATTTGGAGCCTTGCTAAGGTAATGATTAAGTGCTTGGCAGCTAAGCTAACCAGAAGGTCAGTGGATTGATCCAGCCAGCCACTTCACAGGGAAAAGATAGGATGTGTGTTTCTGTAAAGATTTACACCCTTGGAAAACTTGTGGCCCAATTCTGTCCTGTTGTGTAGGGTTTCTAATGAGTTTGAATTAACTCAGTAGCAATGCATTTGGTTTTATGAAGTTGTTTATGTATCTTGGTATCCGTATGGTGAAAATCCAGTTAATGTCAAGTTTTTACACATCTCTTCCTAAGTCTACATCCAATTACATCATGCAGGCAGTTTGAAATTGACCACAGTGAGTATTTATTCCACAGAAATTGGGTGTAAAGGCACAATTTAGCCAGAGCCTTCTCCAATGACTATTAACTGATCCTTGACTTTTTTTTGTGACTTTGAGAAATAAAAAATGGTGTCTCATTTTTAGCTCACATTTATTCCCTGGTTACAATGCTTTTGAGATGCTCATGTTTGAATTTCCTAGGAAGTTAATAGTTTTCTCTTGTTCTTGTGAATTGGATCTTTGTACTATTATGTTTTCTAGTTGATATTGGACAGGAAAGCTTGTTTTAAAATCAGGCCCTCGGCCCAGCTCCTCTACCAGTTCAAATAGCTAGTGACTCTGTTTTCCTGAGGGCCCCAGGCAATCATCTCACCTACAAATAATGGAAAACTTCCTTTTTGCACATAAGTTGCTGTGTTTGTTCTGCTTTGCTGCTCTGACCCTGACCACAGGCTCTCGTTGGCCTCCTGTCATCCTATGGGCCCTGCTGCATTTCCCAGTGTTTCTGTCTTTGGTCACGTAGTCCAAAGGGAGTACACTGCTGACCCAAAGGCCACACCTCTTTGATGGTGGTTCAAATCCCTCCAGTGGCTCTACGCAGAGAGATGAGCAATCTCTTCCTGTGTGATTTACAAATTCTGAAATCCAGTCGTATGAGTCTAGACGGCAATGACTGAGTTTTGTTTTTCTTTCTATTTATTAAGAGGACATTGGGTTATTGTTGTTGGTCTTGTATTTTATAAGCATGGCTGTTCAGTAAGGCAAGTGTTTTCTTCCACTTTCTAATTTATGCTTTCTGATGACATTCTAATTTCTCACACCAGCCTGTGCTTACCTAGAGGGAACGGTAGAAGTTTTTCTTTAAGTGGAGTCCTCCTTCCCTTGCATTACCATGTGGTAAGTGCCCTGGTTCAACCTCCCTTGCCCAAAGAATTGAACTGGATGGGAAATACTGGAAGGCTGGCTATAGAAGAAATCATCTGATTCTAGCCTGGCTGTGTCCTGCACGAATGTATCCCAGTGGGCCAAGCCCTTTTCAGAGCATGCAGTTGAGAGAAAAGATGAGAAGACAGGAGTAAAAGTGAAAGCAAAAACAGAAAAGAAATATCTTACAGGGAGAAACTCTCTCGGAGACTGGTCAGTCTCTAGAAATGAAGGAATAAAGACATTGGGTCACATGAGTCATGTGTTAATACAGCTAGTTGGCTCTACCTTAATATAGCTGGCTGGCTCCACATTGTGACATATTTCTGGGCTTGAGTTTGGGCCAATAGGATGATATTATTGTTATGTGCCATCGAGTCACCTGCGTCTACCCTGTGTACAATAACTCTGAACCTTGCCCTATCCTGAGTCAATCTCATTGTCTCCAACAGATCTAATCCTATTTATCCAATCACTGAGTCAATCCATTTCATCCTAGGTCTTCCTCTCCTGGGCTGTCCCACCACCCTTGCAAGTGTGATGTCCTTTTCCAAGGACTGGTCCCTCCTAGCCATATGCCCAAAGTATGTGAAACAAAGTTTCAAAATCCTTGCCTCCAAGGAGAAATTTGGTTTCACTGTCTCCACGACAGACCTATTTGTCTTCTTGGTGGTCCATGGTATGTTCAACACTCTTCTCCAGCACCACGACTTAAAGGCATCAATCTTTCTTCTGCCGTCCTTATCATGGTCCAGCTCTCTGATGCATAACCAGTAACTGTGAAGACTGTGGCGTGTATCAGGCGCACCTTAGTCTCCAGACTGACATAGTTGCTCTTTAGCATTCTAGAGAGGTCACTGACAGCAGATTTTCCCAATGCAATTCTGTCTTTTGGTTCCCTGGTGTAATGGGAGGATGTGGGTGGTTCCACTCCATTGTCCTTGATCCTAGCCACTTGACTTGAACTTGCTCTTGGTTTTATCCTACGGGCATCTGCCTTAATATTTTTTCTGCCCAGCCTCTGCTTGACATTAGTCTGATTCTGATCTTTATACACTTTGGATCCCTTCCTGTTTTAATGGTAAGTGTCACTGTCCTCCTTGAATGTGTGTCTCCCTCATCAAGAGTTAGTCTCTGACTCTTGGAGAGCAAACATATTAAGTCTGTGTTCCACTTAGCACTGATATTTAGACATACGGCATTTCAACGAATGGTTTGGGAATCCTACAAATTTACTCTATCACCTGGTGTGTGGATGCTTGAACCAAATCAAACTCCACCCCTGAAAGGAAGCCTGGCTCCTACGGACCCAGCAGAACTGCCCTGTAGGATTTTCAAGGCTGTGAATTTTTATGGAAGCAAACTGCCACTTCTCCTAAAAAGCAGATGTCTTTAGCAGGTAAACACTTTAAACACTGTGCTACTAGAGTTTCTCAAGTCCTTGAAAATTCCCCTGTAGTGTCTGTCAGTTAAAGTGAGTGTTATAGAACCTTTCCAGCTACTACCACCACTTCCCACCCAGAAGCATTTAAAGGGCTGATGGGGCCATAGATTCTCATCTCTGGAACGCCAATTACACTGCTAGTGGCTGGCCTTATTTTGATCCAGAGAGAGTCTAGATGAGAATCTATGGCTAGACAGGAATACAGAGCTTTAAGAACTGCTATTTACCACTGTGAAGACCAAAAAAGAGTTGATGCCTTTGAATTGCAGCCTTGGTAAAGAAAAGCTCTAATGGCAGAGCGAGTCTTGCTGCTAGCTAGGCTGTGCGTCTCTGGTGATTTGCCTTCATCAGCGGCTGTGAGCAAGAGAGATGGGCAGTATCCTCTCATTAAGATTTACAGCCACGGAAACCCAATAGAGGAGCAGCTATGAGTCGGTTCTGAGTCAACAGAAGGAGCATGAGGCCTCAGACACTTCCTGAGCATTTGCAATCCTATGGAGCTCAGGGCCCATGAACACAGCTGTATAAAGCAGGGTCTTTCTGTGTAGTTGATAGTTGTTGGGTTTTGGATTTTTTTACTGCAAAGCCATATTTAAGGATAAAGGATGTGATTGGAGATACAGCCCTGGATCACTGGGTTGAAATTGACTCCATGGAAGTGGATTTTTGGCCTAAAGGACAAACTAATCTGTCCCAGGGGGGAAACGCAGCTCCTTAGAAGCAGAGACAGCGGCTCACTCAATACCTGGCTTTTGTTATCAGGAAGAACTGATCCCTAGAGAAGGGACTCATGATTGTAAAAGAGGAAGATTCTGGATGGGAGGGATTGACACAGTGACTGCCCTGGGCTTCTGCACCACCATGATGAGGGGAGATGCCAGACTGGGCAGGGATTGTGCAGGGGTTCCCGGTGGGTCATCGGTCACACCTAACAACATCCGTCACTGTTGGCACAGGGATACTGGCATTGCCTCCAAGGTGTGTGGAGCTGTTTTCGTTTATCAACGGGATCTCTCCTTTAACATGCTTTGTTGTTAGTAGTTGTTGATCGGTTGGTTGATAACCCATCTTGCGTGACCCCATGTGTGCTGTGCGTAGCAAAATTGCTGCAAAGGATTTTCAAGGGCATGACCTTTCAGAAGCAAATCGTAAAGCCTCTCTCCTTAGGGGTCTCTAGGAAGATTCGAACTTCCGACCTTTACTTTGGTGGCAGTCTAGACCTTAATGCTTCTGGCACTCAGAGACTCTTAACATAATACTTAACAGAGTGTGTAGGAAAAGACCCAGAAATCCTAAGAGGAGGCTATAGTGCTTGTTCCTGGCCTTTAAAATCAAACCGTATCCCTGCCGTTTATACCACAGTCCCCTTACCTGCCTCTGTATTTCAGTTTATTCATGTGTAAAATGGGACAGTAAAAGCACAAAGTTAATGAAGATTCTGAAGATTAAATCAGACAGTGAACTTTCCCACAAAGTTAATAAAGCTTATCGTGAGCGCTCTAAGAATCCGGGGCGTGTTGCTTTCGCTAGCACAGGGATGCAGTGCAGAGAGGGCACTGTGTATGGTGCAGGGGGCCCGCAGTACCAGCGGGCGCCTGTCGTGCTGAGCGCCTGTCCTGGCACCTCCAGGGCGGCAGAGGGCGCCCGAGGGTGAAGCCGCGCCAGGGGCGGGGCGCGCGCTCTGGCCGGCCGGCACACTGGGCCCTGCGAACGGGGTCATGCAGGTAGGTGTCCGCCTTTGCGCCCCTTGAGTTTCCGTCCGAGACCCCGCCGGCAGGTGGGAGGTGCTCGAACCCATGACTAGTCCCGCTCTGAAGTGGGAGGTGCATTCCGATCCAAAGCGAAACCGGAAGGTCCGCGCCTAGTGACTGGGCATTTCGGTGTCTGGGGTTAGAGACGGGGGTGTGCCCGAGGAGCAGGCACGTGGTGCAGATGGGCTCGCACTGAGGGCGCTCTGGGTTTGCGCCCGGGAATTCCGAGATGGGCGGGCACGGGGGTGGGACTTAGGGGGCCGGGCCAAAGCTCAGATTGCGGGGCGTCAGAGCCGGGCGGGTCCCGAGCCCGGGATCTGGGGCTTTCGGTGCAGGAAGCGCGGAGGCAGAGTTCCTTTATTCTAGGCGTGGACGTAGGGAGCCTGGATAAAAGGTCCGAGGTCCCAGATCGCTTAGAGTCAGCACCTTGCTCTCCTAGGTGGCCATGACCGGCAGAGCTCGCAGAGAGGCGGTGCAGGCCGCGGCCCGGGAACTTCTGAAGTTCGTGAACCGGAGCCCCTCTCCCTTCCACGGTAAGTGACCAGGGCGAGGAAGGCAGGGAGGGCCTGGCGTGCCCCGCACCGGCTTCCTTAGCTGGAAGGACCTTCTTTATCCATAGCTGTGGCTGAGTGCCGCAGCCGCCTCCTCCAGGCTGGCTTCCATGAACTCAAAGAGACCGACAGCTGGGATCTCAAACCTGAGAGCAAGGTACGTGGGGTGTGTTGCGGTGGGAGCCGAGAGGCCAGGGTACTGGGCAGGGACTCAAAAGTCCTGTGTGCCAGCACCCTCATCCTGCCCCTTTCCTCAGTACTTTCTGACCAGGAACTCCTCCACCATCATCGCTTTCGCTGTTGGGGGCCAGTATGTCCCTGGCAATGGCTTCAGCCTCATTGGTGCTCACACGGACAGCCCCTGCCTCCGGGTAAGAAACTGGGCCTGTGCTGGGGGTGCTGGAGGGGGGAGCGGTAATCAGAGGGCAGAATTGAGGTGTTTTAATCCCCCTAGGGAGCTCTGGTGGCCCAGTGGGTAAGGGGTTGTGCTGCTTACCCAGAGGCAGAAGGTTTGAATCTACTAGCAGGTCCTAGCGAGAAAGATTTGCAGTCTCCTCCTGCGTGATTTACAGCTCTGAAAACCCTCTGGAGGCTCGGCTGTGAGTCTGTTCAGAGCCAAGGGCAGTGATTTTTTAAATTTTGGGTTTTTTTAAGTTATTGCCCGTACTCCCTGGGTGGATAAAATAGACTGCTAACTGAAAGATTGACATTTTGAGTCTATGCAGAAGTGGTGCGGAAGAAAGGCCTGGTGAGGCACTTTGTAATGTTCCCAGACATGAGTCCAGTCAATGGCAATTTGTTTTCATTCCGTAGAGCCGAGTCAGGGGAGCTTTGATGGAACAGCTTGTAGGGAGTTGCAATGCTAAGTCAAAGGTAGCCCTCGCCTCTGGCTGTTCAAATCCACCAAAAGCTCCTTGGGGAAAAAAAATGGACAATCTCTTCTTGTTTGGTTTACAGCCTGAGAAACCCGGTGGAGGGCCGGCTGTGACTGGGTTCTGACTCTCTGGCAGTGAGTTTTTTGAGAGAGCAGGCAGGGCTCTGGTAAATTTGGTGTCCCTCCTGCACACACTGTCCCTCTATCTGGCACTAGTATTTTGCTCCATGTTACTTAACTTGTTTGTGGTCTCAGCCCCTTAGGTCAGGCGCCCCAAGCCCAACTGATAATTCCATCTCTTCATTTCACTGTCTCTGACTTTACCTTTCCATTTGTGTGCTCAGGTAAAACGCAGGTCTCGCCGCAGCCAGGTGGGCTTCCACCAGGTGGGCGTGGAGACCTATGGTGGTGGCATCTGGAACACTTGGTTTGACCGTGACCTGACCTTGGCTGGGCGTGTCATTGTCAAGGTGGGAAAAGGGCAGCTGGAGATTGACAGTCACTCCCCTTCAGGGTAGACTTGGAAAAGCCCCCTTAAGAGGGATAGACACACACACCCCGCGGGAGGACGAGAAGGGGCCGGAGGACCTCAGTTAGTCTGAGTGCAGTGGGAGTCTCACCAGAGGGGGTGGCCTGTGCCCTGTGCTCACGGCCTGACTGGCCACAGTGCCCCACCTCAGGCCGGCTGGAGCAGCGGCTGGTGCACGTGGAGCGGCCCATCCTCCGCATCCCACACCTGGCCATCCATCTGCAGCGGAACATCAATGAGAACTTTGGACCCAACACTGAGACGCACCTGTGAGATGCTGGCTCTGGTGGCTGGGGGGACAACATGAGGTGGGCGGACCTTGGGAGGCCACTACCTACAGTGGCTGAGGTTGAAGTCTTCTCTTGGGTCCCATTAATGCTACGTAGCCACCTGCCCTCCACCATTTGGGGAGCGAGCTGAGAATCAAAGGGCGAGGCAGTTCCTCCTCAGGGGCATCTGGGTTCAGGGGTGCCCTCCGTGACTGTGCCTGGCAGCCCTCCCCACACTCTCCTCTGATGTGTCTCCACAGAGTCCCCATTCTTGCCACAGCCATCCAGGAGGAGCTGGAGAAGGGGACCCCCGAGCCAGGGCCCCTCAACACTGTGGTAAGTGCCACCTCGGGATGGGGGAAGGGCGAACAGCGGGGTGATCTGAGAAGGAAAGAGGAGGGAGGGCATGGAGCCTCCTCTCAGAACCGTCCTGTCCTGCAGGATGACCGACACCACTCCGTCCTCATGTCCCTGCTCTGCTCCCAACTGGGGCTGAGCCCCGAGGACATCCTGGAGATGGAGCTGTGTCTTGCCGACACCCAGCCTGCGGTGAGGACAACTCGGGGACCCCCAGCCCACCCAGCAAGGCCCCCCAGAGCACTCAGCATACCTGCCAGCTCCCCAGACACTCACCCCTGATTGCCCAGCAGGGACACCTCCCCCACTACGGCAGTGGTTCTCAAACAGGCAGGCGCCCCGCCCCACACCTGCTATCTCAGCTCTCGGGGTGAGTCTGAGGAACAGCCTTTTACATGCATTTTGCTGCAGCGGGTGCCTGTCCACACTTTGGTCCACAATGGCTCCGAACCTCTGGGGACAAAGGGCCTGTTTGTGACCCCGTTTTCTGGAGCCTCCTTATCTCTCCCAGCATCCAGCAGAGAGACTGATGGGGCTCCAAGGATTGTGCTGACCACCTGCCTGGAGGTTGGCACTTTGGACTCAGTGGCGCCTGGCAATCTGCTTCCGTAGCGGTTACGCCAGCACAGCCCTCTGAAGCAGTTCTACTCTGTTTATCTCATCAGGTCGCCCTGAGTCGGCATTGAGAGTTTGGCTTGGCCCGGGTTTGTCCTGTGAACAGGCTCTGCACTTCCCTGGCTTGGCCTGGCTCCTCCTCTGCTCGCCTCCTTAACTTTCCTCTGTGACCGCTCATTCCATCCCCGGTTCTGCCCCACAGGAGCTGGTCAGGAGCTGTCTGCCTCCACCCTCCCACCTTCCCTCACCTCCTGCCCTTCCTCCACTCCCAGCTCAGCCCTGCCCTGAAGGAAGAGGAGTCCCCTAAACCAGGTTTCAAGTGCAGGTTATCCTAGGCACCAGCCAGGAGAGCTTGTACAGCCCTTGAACCAGGGAGACACAGGGGAGTCGGGGTGGGGTTGAAGGTCGTCTGTCCTATCTTTGCAGGTCCTGGGCGGGGTCTATGAGGAGTTCATCTTTGCCCCTCGGCTGGACAATCTGCACAGCTGCTTCTGTGCCCTGCAGGTGAGAGCGGGACACCCAGGCAGCCTGTGGGAGAGGCAGAGGACCTGGGAGAGCTCAGAAGAGGGCTGCCGTCCACCATGTCTCTGCTACTGGGTGGCTTGTGAGAAGGGGCTCAATACTGCCCTTCAGTGCCACTCCTCTTGGTCCCACTTCTTGCACTGGCTTAGGGTGAGGGGCCAGGTTAAGGGGAAGGCGGAGAAGTTTAGCTCCTGCTTTTCCTTCAATGATCCTTGCTTCCTGACAGAGGCCTGCAGTACTGCCCTGTTGCCCAGGAGGGCGGTATTGCCCACCTGCGTCCCCTGGCCTGAGGCCCGGCCTCCCCCACCTTCTCTGCTCCTTAGGATTTTCATCTTTCCTTTGATTTGCCTCCCTCTTTCTGCCCTATGTCACTTGCTTCTCCCCTCTGCCCTCGCCCCTCCCTCCGCCCTTTCCTGCCTCTTCTCTCCCTGCCTGTTCTGTTTCAAGCAATGGGACTTTGAGGTGTAATTGAGAAGCAGGGACCTGGGATTTGCAGTGAGCCAGCTGACCACAGGCGCCTCTTTGCAACTTGGTCTTTCAGCTGAGGCCAGTTTGTTGCATGAACTGGCCCCCTTGACTTTTGAGGCTTGGCTTTTCCTGAGAGCTGAGGTGGTGAAGGCCTGAGCCCACGTCACGCGCCATGGTGCTGGAGGGCCAGTGGGGGGTCAGAGTATCCAGCCTGTCAGTGGACTGAGTCCTCAGGGAGGTAGAGGTGACAGCAATGTTCTTGTCCCCCGAGCCAGGCTTTGATCGATTCCTGTGCAGCCCCTACCTCCCTGGCCACGGAGCCCCACGTGCGCATGATTGCACTCTACGACAATGAAGAGGTAGGTGGAGGGCTCTGAGCGAGGCCCCCCCAGTCTCCACCAGCTCGTGCCGGGCACGCTCCTGACCCAGGTCTCCACCAGTTCATGCAAGGAACACTCCCAACCCAGAATAAATCAGGGGCCCCTCAGTCTCCTGTAGCTCGTGCCAGGCGTGCTCCTGACCCAGAGAGGCTCAGGGGCCTCACAGACCTGGGAGGCACTGCCTGTGTTTCGTCAGCCCTGGGAATTCCCTGTCGGCTCAGCGTGCATCGACTTCTAGTCTCTATTCTTTTTTTTCTGCCATGTGATGAGCTCCTCAGCGACAGGAGTCGTGCCCAGCTCACCCTCGTGGCCCCAGGACTGGGCACTGGCTAATGTGCGGGTGTGATCTTCAGGCACTGCTAGGCGGCAGTGTGCTGGCTTGAACTGTCGGTAGCTGTATCTCAGGTGGTTGCGCAGGTCAGAGCTGGCAGTTCAGCCTTCATCTCTGATCCTTATTACCACTTTCATGTCAGCATCCACGGTGGCTCTTCAAGCTCCCATCGTCATGTCTGCACTGAGCTAGGAAGAGGGGACACCGAGTGTGTATCGTGCCTTTAAAGGACGTGGTCCCCAAACGTGTCCATCACTGCTTCCACCCCATTGTGTAGCACTCTGCGTGGCCACGCTTGCCCGCAGGGGGGAGAGGGAACTTTACAGCGTATTAATGATGGGCTTCTCTTCAGCTCAGTGGTTGTAATAGTCTGTCACTTGCATAAAAAAAAAGTGAGCACTTGGGTGAAACAGAAGATAATAAATATGCAATAAGAAATTAATTACATTAATCCGTTTAATATTACAAAACAAAATTCTGAACAATTACATGAAAACACAGTGTGATTTGTAAACATTCACTAAGCAAAGACCACTGTGGCAGAGGCCGGTGGGAGCCTGAGCCGAGCCCCAGATGTGAGATAGTGGAGAGGGGTGGGTTGGGTGCTGTAAACCCACGAGGAGAGGTGGCTGAGTCACGTGGGCCCCAGCTTGCCATCAGGATTTCAGTGATGACCCAGGTCCAGGCTCCTGGAGTTGGAGAGATTGCTTATAGCCCTCCTTACCCCCCAACTCAGTGACTTGGGGCTCCTGGGCCTTCCCAGCTCAGACCCTCTCCCCCAGACCCCCATGTCCACTCTCCACTGTCACCAGGTGGGGTCTGAGAGCGCCCAAGGTGCGCAGTCACTGCTGACGGAGCTGGTGTTGCGGCGGATCTCAGCTTCTCCCCATCACCTGACGGCCTTCGAGGAAGCCATTCCCAAGTCCTACATGATCAGCGCTGACATGGCCCATGCCGTGCACCCCAACTACCCGTGAGTCACCCCATCAGGCACAGCCCAGGACCCAGTGTCACCACCCACAGCCCTGGCCTGGCGCCCATCTCTTCCCCGGCCCCTTCTCTCACTCGCTGAGAGATTCAGTGGGGACCTCCTGTTGGCTGCTCTAAGGCTCAGCTTGATTAAAATCACATAATAAGTAGCTGTGATAGGTTGAGTAGCCTTTGTTTTATAAACTGATGCCCATCTTTTGCTGGCTGCTGCCTGGACTGTGGTGTTTGGAATGTTCCAGGGGCCTGTTGGATCGGGCCAGAGAAAGCATGAGCCGTTAGTGACGTCTGTCATGGGAAGGGTGGTGGGTAGTGACGGCCTGGCTCCCGCTCGCCAGCTGGACCCTCTCTGTCTTACAGAGAGAAGCACGAGGATAACCACCGGCCCGCCTTCCACAAGGTGAGAGGCTCCTGTTCTGCTCAGGGCGCAGGGGCCTGGCTGGTTCCGAGCCCCGTCTCTTCCCCTCTGGGCTCCTTGCCTGTCGCTGCCTCACCTGCTGGACCTGTTTCACCTCCCTCCAGGGCCCCGTGATCAAGGTGAACAGCAAGCAGCGCTACGCCTCAAATGCTGTTTCCGAGGCCCTGATCCGAGAAGTGGCCAACAATGTCGGGGTGCCCCTGCAGGTGAGAGGGCCCTGCCTAGGAACATGTGACAGAGGGACAGGATGGGGGCGCAAGGTGATGGCCCCTAATAAGAGAGGAGCCTAGGAGTAGACCTTAGTGGAAGAGTTCCCTGGTTCAGAGAAGAGCAGGGGTTCTTGATATGGGTAAATGTGGATACAGTGCTGGTTCTGTTGAAGTCCTGGCTGTGTAACTTTGGGTAATCTCGTAACCTCTCTGAGTCTCAGTTTCCACACCTGTGAAATGGGAGTGACAATGATGCTAGCCAGATCCCTGGGAGGATTCGCAGTGCAGTGCGCTCCTGGCGCACACTGGGTCAGTCCTCCCCTTTTCCACTCTGCACCCTCCAGTTGCTCCGTGTCTTTCACAACCCAGCAGCTTCCAGAGGAAAAGCTTATGACTCAGGAGCTTGGACCCCCAACTGCTTATGGAGTTAGGATGGTGGCAGTGTGGCTGCAGAGAAGCGGGCAGCATACAGTGCTTGGAGGGCTCGTTTCAGTGTCGGCTCTGGTTTTGTCTGATCGCTTCAAAATTTCTGAGGAGGGATGGCTGGGTGGTTGATTGTGACTGTGGAAACCTGTAGGACTGAGTGGGTCTGCCTGACAGGATCTCCTAGGCTGTAATCACAATGGGAGCAGATCTCCCATGATGCCACTGGGTAGGTTTGAACCCCTGACCTTTTAGTTGGCAGCTGAGCCTTTAACTATTGCTCCTTTCCTAGGTGGGGAGACCTGCTCTCTCAGGCCCCTACCTTTCAGCTGCAATTCTAAGGTCACTTCCCCCCACACACACTTTATAAAGAGCACACTACTCACCAGCCTCTCTCCCCATTTCCCAGGAGGTCATGGTCCGCAACGACTCCACCTGCGGTACCACCATCGGGCCCATCCTGGCTTCCCGCCTGGGGCTGCGGGTACTGGATCTGGGCAGCCCCCAGCTCTCTATGCACTCCATCCGGGAGGTAGCCTGCACCACAGGAGTGCTCCAGACCCTCACTCTCTTCAAGGTAACTCCACCTACCCTGCTGGTTCTGTACCTGTTCCTGGGCAATGTCGCCATGACCAAGTGATTAAGGTTATGGTGGCTGGTTGGTCATATTGCTAAGCGGACCCCACCGTCTTTTCTTCTAAAGACTCAGGGGCCTTGACCAGCCCCAGAGGGAAATGAAGGAAAGCGGACCAGGATGGGAAGACTGGGACAAATGTCAAGCGATAGCTCAAATGCAGGCGCTTCTTGTCAGGCTCATATTGGTGGGAGGTACCATGGGCACCTCCGTCAGGGCCCCTACTCATCCCACATCCCCCTTGACTCCCATTTTAGGGCTTCTTTGAGCTCTTTCCTTCTCTGAGCCGCAACCTCGTCGTGGACTGAAACCCCTGGAAGACTTCCCTTCCCAGCCCTTTGTCCCTGACAGGGGAGGTTCTCAGCTGAGCTGAAGCTGGATTATTAAAGCGGATTTTTCACACAAACTCACTCTGTTGGGAATCTTTGGAGACTGGAGGGGTCGGGATGGGGTCTGGCTTGAACAAGTGGAACCAGAACTGAGTGGGGTAGTTGGGGTGCAGGTAGAGGCAGTCACATCTTATAGATGTTGATTCATGGTCAACCCATGTGATGATGGTGTTAGGTGGTGTCAGGTCAACTACACCTCACAGCAGCCCTATGAATGACAAATCTGAACCAAGCCCCGTCCTGCGCCGTCCTCACGATGGTCATGCATGGGACAAGTTCCTGGATATGGAATTACGGGATTGAAGGCAGTCCGTACTTAAAGTGTTAATAAATATTGTCCTGCTGTCTCTGGTTAATGTGGAATCTTGGAAGAGGGAGTCAGCTCCCCCCATCTAGGCTCAGCTCTGGCTCAGAATCTAACTATAGGGAGTTCAGAATCTGCTCCTTGCCAACCTCTCCAGCCTCATTTGAATGCTCTCCCCTGGGTGGGGCCAGTGAAGGAATAGGCAGGGGCAGTGGGGGCTTGAGGAGACTGGATGATAATTATATACATAGGAATGACTGTGTAAAGTACACTGTACATGAGGGAAAACCTTTGAAAATTTTAGATGATACTACACAAAATAAAGAAAATGCAATTTATAAAAGTCCAGAAATTTTGTTTCATTGTGGACCCCAAGTAGCTCCAGCTGCCCCTCTGAGCCTCTGCCACCACCCCAACTTGGCTTTATTTTTTTCCTTAAAATTTCAACTCCATCATCTTTTAAACTCCAGCTTCTCCCCCGCCCTCACGTTTTCCTGGGTTTTGTTTTGTTTTTGAAAATTTCAAGAGTGTTTATTAATTCCCCATGTGGAGACTTTCTCCCTCCACAAGAGGGTGGCAAGAGAAAAAGCCCCGAGTTCCCCCTCCCAATTGTTTTTATAGCTTTCTTTGAATGCCCTGTCACGTTTTCCTGTTTAAAAATTTGGTTTTGTTATTTCTTACGTTTTTCTTTATTTGAGTGGAAGTTTACAAATCATACTGGTTTTTCACTCATATACATTTTGTTTTGTAGTATAAATTAAAATTGATTAATCACAATGTCTGATCAGCCCCTTATTATATATTAATCTTCACCAAACTTACATGTTTATTAATTTTTACTCCCCAGTCCCTCCCTTCCCATCCCTGTTAACCATCCAAGGGTAATTCCTGTGTGCTAACCTCTCCTTAGCTTTTTATAATTGTGTATTATAGAATAAAATTACATTGTGATAGGTCTTTTATTACTGACTTCTCTCACTTATCATAAGTACATCTAGATTCATCCATGTTGTACGGTGTTTCAAAAATTGTTGTTGTTAGGTGCTGTTGAGTCAAGTATGACTCAGAGTGACGCTATAAACAACAGATCTGAACTATCTTGTATCGTTCTCATCACCTCTGACACAGTTGAGCCCATTGCTGCAGTCACTGTGTCAATGTGTCTGATTGAGGGTCTCTCCTTTGCTATCCCTCCACCTTCCAAAGCATGATGTCTTTTCTCCAATGAATAGCCTCCCTTGGCAACATGCCCAAAATATGTGAAATGAAGTTTTATCATCTGTGCTTGAAAGGAGCACTCTGGCTGCACCTTCTCCAAGACATACCTGTTTGTTCTTTTGGCAGCCCAAGGGATATTTAGTGCTCCTCTCCAATACCAGAGTTCAGAGGCATCAATTCTTTGTCATCCTTATTCATTGTCTAGCTTCCAGATGCATATTGTTCTTTGTTGTTGATAATACTCCATTTAGAAGAAAGCTGCTTTTTTTTAAATTAGATGCCATTGACTATAAGTCTTAGCGTAGAAGTCAACTCATATGCAAGTTGTTCTGCAGTGTTGGTAATACTCCACTGTGTGGATGTTTCCAACTTTCCTTTGCTTTTCGTCTGGTGATCGGCACCTGGATTGCTTCCTTCTCTTTGCTCTTGTAAAGCTGCAGTAAACAATGGTGTACCTATATCGGTTCTTACCACGGCTCTTATTTTTTTGCCATTTCTTTCTTAAAATCTTACTTTGTTTGCTTCCTCTCTGCCCAATCCCTTCCCCATATACGTACTTCTGTTTTTGCCTTACCCTGTTTTCTTGAGCACCTTGTCCGAGTTAGTAAGTTAGTCTGTTTGTTATTGCTGTGTGCTGTTTGGAACCCACCCACAGCTGACCCTCCGGTGGGTTTTCAGGGGCAGTTAATTGTGAGGGAGGAGATTGACCATCCTTCCATGGATCTGGTGGATTCAAACAGCGTGCCTTCAGGATTGCAGTACAGCTTCTTAGCGCTAGGCCACCAGAACTCCCTGTTGGTCTGTTTATTGGATTTTTCCTCCTAAGTACAGCATTCTTGATGGTTTGCTAACAGGAAGTGTGGGAAAGGCCTGGCAGACGTACACAGTACTAAGACTCACTGAAAAGCCTTCCGGTCAGCTGGTCAGGGCTGAGCCCGGGTCCGTGGTGCGGAATCTGCCCCCTGGTGTCAGTGGAGATAATTGCAGAATACCAGGAGCCAGGCAGCAGCTCTGAACCATCAGACTCTGCAGTACAGTGCTGGCAGCATAGACTGCAGCTGAGTTGCACTAGACTAACCCAAAGGCTGTGCAATTTGGCAGTTTGGGTCTACCAGCAGCTAGCTCACCAGGAGAAAGATGGGCAATCTCCTAGTGTGATTTACAGCCTCAAAAACCCAAGGGAGGGTCATTGAGTTGAGGGAATTACATCATAAGGAGGGAGCCCTGCTTGTGCTGTAAGTAAAAGCATGTGGTTGCTAAGTGAAGGGTCAGTGGAGGGAGAAGGGGGGGGGGGGACAGTCTGTACCCTGAAAAGAATTTTAGCCTCAGAAACCCTAGAAAGCAGTTAGGTTCTTTCCTGCACTCTAGCCATGAATCAACAACAGTGGATATTTATGCTGTAATGACCCCTGGTGGAGCAGTGGTTACAGCACTTGATGCTAACCAGTTTCAATTCAAACCCAGAAGCAGCCATGCATGAATCACACTGGAAGCTTGGGTTAGAGGTAGAATTTCTTCTTTTTCTCCTTTTGCCTAGCCGAACGAGTTTTGGAGAGTGCATAGGAAGATTTGCACTCAGACAGTTGTAATCTTACGAACTCTGAAAATATTTGTTTGTTTTACAATAAACAAAGTCCAACAAGGCAGTTCGAAAGATTTACCAAAGAAAAAAATTTACAAAAGGACATTTTGCTTTGTTTCTTAAATTTTATTTTGGTGTAAATATATGTAACACCATCTTGACAATGGCAGATGTTGTTTGTAAAAAATAGTAATGGATTGAAGACGTTTCTAGAAGATGCTGCCTAGGCCCCAGCCAGGCACTTCCCTTCACTGTTAGTCTAGTCACAGCCCCAGCGCCGGTGCCCAGGGCTGCTCGTCCGCAGGTGTCCACCCACCTGGCAGCAGGAAGCTAAGGAATTAATGCTACATCCCCAGAACCCTGACCAATGATGGACAAGAGTTTGCAGCTGACCGACGCACCTCTCACAGCATACTTGATGAGACACTGGGAGCCCTCTTCTAAAGTTCAGGACTAAGCCAGGACGATCTGCTGTTGTTTCTTACTCCCTCATGGTGTGAGTGTGATAACTGCAGTCGGTACTGGGTCCCCAGCACAATGCAGCTCCAGAGTTAAGCCTGGCAACACACCTTTTTCCTTCCCAGTTCTTTTCCCTCCCTTTCTCTCTTTTCCACTCTCCTTCAATACTTCTCATTAATGTGACTCAGAGTGACCTTAGAACAACAACAGGTCAGAATCCTGTTTTATCCCGCTACATCCGTATCCTCCCTGACATACTTGACACACTCACTGTCAGTCCATCTCATTGTCTTCCTCTATCTCACTGACCCCTCACCTTTCTAAGCATGGTGTCCCTGCCCAAGGAATAGCCTCTCCTGACGACATGCCCAAGTTATCGAGAACTAATGATGTCAGTTTGAGGACCAAGGGGCACCTGATTCAGGCCGTGATCTTTTCAGTGACTTGCTATGCATCTAGAGTTGGACAGTGAATAAGGATGACAATAAGAATTGATGCCTTTGACCTGTGCTGTTGGAGAAGAGTGGTGAATACCTCATGGACGGCCAATAGAACAAACAAATACTTCTTGGAGAGGGAGCAGCCAGAGTGCTTTTTGGAGGCAAAGATGATGAAGCGTCATCTCATTTACTTTGGGCATGTTGCTAAGAGAGATTATTCCTTGGAGAAGGACATCATGCTTGGGAAGGTGGAGAGGCGGTGAAAGAGAGGAAGACCTTTGACTAGGTGGGTTGACACAGGGACCATGGCAATGGGCTCGAGGGTGGCAGAGATTCTGAGGACAGTGCGGGATAGGACATGGTTCAGATCTATTGTTCATAGGGTCACTATGAGGTCGTACTCAACTCGAAGGCACCTAACAACATGCCCAAAATATTCATGAGACAAAGCTTCACCATTCTTGTCTCTATAGTTGTGCTTTCTCTCAGACATATCTGTTCATTTTTTTTGTCAGTTCATGGGATCTTCACTCTTTTCCAATACCACAGCTCACTTCTGTCATTATTACTATTGTCCGGCTCTCAGATGCATAGCAAGTGATTGAAAAGATCACGGTCTGCATCAGACGCACTTTTCGTTCTCAGACTTCATTTTCCAGTAAATTGCTTGCACCCAAATCTTTGTTTCAGGGTCTAACTCTAAGTTAAATTTCCTTTGAGAACGAGACATGGCTACCAGCGGTTCCAGTTCTATTTAATGGTGTGCTGAGTGCCCTTAGGTAGTAAGGTGAGGAAAGGGGTCAGACAAGACTGGAAAGGAAGAAACAAAACTTGCTTCTGATATGATTGGTTACATAGAAAATCCAGAAGATATATTCTTTGAGTTAATAATTTATCAAGATAGCTGGCTGGGGAAAAAAATCAATATACAAAAATCAATTCTTTATACCAGAATTTAATGGTTAGAAAATGAAATTTTTTAAAAGATTACTTCTACAAAGCATAAAATCAA